AGACAGAAACTCAAATCGATAGTTTACTCAAAATCGAAAATTCTGTCATCATACTCAGAGAAGTTCGAGCAATGTGGTCTTGTGAAGTTTAACTGATCATCAATCACAGCTCAAAGGTTCTTCCCTGTGCTGGAAGGAGTTATGGTTGACAAACTTTATGGTTAACAAAGGTTGAGGTGAAGGTGGTGGTCCTTCATCCAGCAAGAAATGTGTGTGTGTCAGGCTGAGATACGAGAAGCTAACGTCGGATCATCTGGCTGGAATGAGAGGTAGAGTTGTGTGTCGTCAGTTAAGTCAAGTCATCCTCATTTATATAGCGCTTTTAACAATATAGATTGTTTCAAAGCAGCTTTACAGAGATAAACATATAATTTAAGGTAACGGAGATTGGTTTGGTTTTAGCGGTTCTTGAATAATGTTATTTTCCAGCTAAAGTTAGTTTTGATTGATTCACTTCCATCGAAATGATCATTTGTTATTAAATTAGGGGCCGCTAAGACGACACCGTTCTCTCTAAACAGACTTTAAACGTGAACCTGTGATAAACGCTTCACATTCGCATTAAGAATTGATTCTATAGTTATGTGCGTTTGAATATATGTGCGCAGGTTTGTAATTCCCTACAAACCATGCCTAAACAAACTACTTGTCTTGCCTATAAATTTGATACAAAATTTTATTTTATTTTATCACTTCGGGGTAGGTACGCGAACCGAATTTCCACAAGCATAGCATAGCAGTGATAGGAAAATCAATGTTTCTGAATGACAGATCCTAATGATGATATGTAGATTGAGAAGAGAAAAGGTCCCAGCACTGAGCCCTGAGGCACTCCAGTAGCTAGATGTGTGATTTAGACACCACACAGATCCAATGAGTGGCAAACGAGCTGCTACATGACTGGATTTAAAAGGGGAAACTGCGAAAACTCGAGTAAAACAAAATGATTATCAGTTTGGCCTCGATATAGTGTTCCTTACAACTTACCAAAGATCCAGTGATCCGTGGATATTGACATGCAGCAGGAATCCTGATTCCTGACATTTATACATGCTTGATTTCGACATCAGGGAAATACATAAAGCAAGTTTATATAGTGTAACAGCGCAGCGCTTCTGTGTACGTCACACGCAGGCTCACTATTGGCCGGCGCTGGTCATGTGTGTGATGTGTGTGACGTACAACCTAGAAGCTTTGCGCAGTTATACTACGTGAAATCTCGAGGCCAACGGAGAAGGAAATGAATAGTTGAATAAAGTCGTTATTTTTGTTTGTTTTTTTTGCGCACAGAAAGTATTCTCGTCGCTTGATAAACTTAAGGTTGAGCCGCTGTAGTCACTCTGACTATTTTAACGATGTATTTAATAACTTTTGGGCCGGCAAGTTTCAATCCCATAGAAGCCTATGGAGGAGTGAGACAGCTCTCAGATTTAATCACACATATCTTAATTTGTGTTCCGAAGATGAACGAAAGTCTTACGGGGTTGAACAACATGAGGGAGAGTAATTACTGACAGAGTTTACATTTTGGGGTGAACTATCCCTCGGGGTAGGTACGTGAACCGAATTTCCACAAGCATAGCATAGCAATGATAGAAAAATCAATGCTTCTGAATGACAGATCCTAATGATGATATGTAGATTGAGAAGAAAAGAGGTCCCAGCACTGAGCCCTGAGGCACTCCAGTAGCTAGATGTGTGATTTAGACACCGCACAGATCCAATGAGTGGCAAACGAGCTGCTACATGACTGGATTTAATAGGGGAAACTGCGAAAACGCGAGTAAAACAAACAATTATCAGTTTGTCCGATAATTGATATTTGATATAGTGTTCCTTACAACTTACCAAAGATCCAGTGATCCGTGGATATTGACATGCAGCAGGAATCCTGTTTCCTGACATTTATATGAGCCTGATTTCGACGCCGGGGAGATACATAAAACAAATTTGCCTTTGAACACTTAATATAAATACAATATAGGTAGATCTAAATCCAGATGATCACTTATATCAATGTTATATATATCATAATATCGTCCAGCCCTTAAGACTTGTATGTACATTTTTGTCAGTGTTTATTTAAAAACGTCCAATTATCACAGAATATAATATGGTAAATTTTTAATTGATGAGTTTTCAATACAATATATAGGGTATGATTTTACCCCTAAATTCAGCATATTGACACAAAATCACAACTGCAAATCCACCTTTCTCTGCCTGGATCCAGTTGTTTCTATGATTTGCAGCGATGCATTTGCTTCTCAGTTCTGTAGCTTTCGACAGTCTGTAAAATATATCTCAGATTTCTTGTCAAATAGTTGTACAGTCGATCTCAAAGCTCTTTCCCGTTTTAGATGTGTCTTGTGTGTTTTTCGCTGCATTCACGCTGAAAACCAATGCTACCGCATACCCTCTATTCAGTATTTGAACACTAAACGTTGACTCAACAAAGGCTGTTTTGAAAAAGCTTTAAAAAGCCTTGATGTTACAGTCAGAAAGAACAATATAACGAACGATGTATTCAAAATCACATCACAAGTTGGATTCAGTCACTATAACAAACATTAATGTCAACTTTATTAGTGTAAACTACCTCTGAGGTCAGATTTTTCGTTCAGGTTTTACCAATTGGCGATTGGCTCTTTTATTTAGAAGGCGGGACTTATTTCGCCATATTGCATATACACACCTTTTTTTGTACATCGAAAGTCTTTGATCTTACTCAGAAAGTTAGTTCAACTGGTGACATGGATCTGTTGTGTTGATGGAAGAAAGGACAGATGGCACAATACGAGTGTTTGGGAAACCTATTAGGAATTATTATGAAATGAGACAATAAAGATATGAACACATCTGCACTTTTATTGTTGTTCATAAACACGCAGGATTATATGGACACTTCAAGCAACGCTTCATTTACTCAAGAGATCAATGAGCATCATAACAGGATTATGACCAGCGAAGGCACCATTTGATTAATACTAAATTACTCGGTTAAATGCCAAACAAACCTAATGTGCTCAAGCTGGGTTTGTAGTGTGAGGATTTGCTAGATCTGCTGGACATGTAAAGTCTCCGAGCTTCTGGATGTGTGTGTGTGTGTGTGTGTGCTGGAGACATGCTGTAGTAATGTGGAGCTCTTCCTATATGGAGTATCTGAGGGATTGTGGGGAACGGGCATTTCTCAAGGAAGGCTTAGTTTGGCGTTTGGGATCACATTTGAGCCCGTCGAACGCTGGAACAGACCTTGCACTCTTGATACTCTCTCAGTGGTGAAATTTCTATGCATAAGCTTCCAGAATTCAGCAAAAACGGTCGAATAGAGTTTTTTTACAGTCAAACCAAAAATTATTTAGACACCAGATATAATTTTTGTTATTTTTTAACTAGTGTGTGCAGGACACTATAGTTCATTTATGTAAGTGAGGAGAGCAAAATAAAGTAAACTGTGATATATTATCCAAAAATTCTTCACACAGCGACTACCAGTACAATTTATAAAAATTTGGGAACAAAAATTATTCAGAAACTTTGACCTGACCATGTTTTGCTTGCATGTTTTTTTCTGTAATTGCTAATGCACCTTTTTACACACAGACTGAACAACATGAAATGTGCTATAGAAATACATTTTGACTTTGACAAGTCAGTTCCAGTTTAGCACTTCCAGGCATGACGTGTCGAGCTCAGAGCTTCCCTTCCGCTGCCACCGTGAGTCAGACTCGCTTCTCCAGCCCAGATATTTACCATCTCATGACATCACGCCCTGAGCACACACACACACACACACACACACACTCTCTCTCGACGTCTATAATGGCTTTTCCCCCTAACACCCGTCCGTGGCAAGGTCAGGAAGGTTGTTAATGCAGTGCACGCCTCCGGTTTGCTCTTATTCATCATATGCGAGACTCAGTTGAGGTGAACTCTGGGAAGCTCAGCTTATGTGCATGCAGATGCAAGTGCAGTTTGAGAAACAAGTAGGGGTGTAACAATATATCATGATGTCACAATATATCGCAATACAAAAATGCAACAATGTGTATTGTGGATAGTGACAATGTGTATTGTGGAAAGTTCACCCAAAATAAAAATTACTGTGTGAGAAAAAATTCAAGTTTTCAGAGTTTTAGTGTCTCTACTACATTAAACTACTATATCATGTTGAATATAGTGTATAATAATGCAATGGGGGGATATTTGTGTGTCCTGATAATGCCAAATGTCTGATGTTACCAGTAAAAGTGTCCGACATTATAATTCTGTATTTTCAGCTTCAGAATCATGAATATTGTTATTCTGGTGTCTCTATTGTCCTGTGTCCAAGTCTATTCATTTACACACACAATGTAAAACCATATTTAGCATTTTAATCAACAGTGCATTTTTTGTTCACCTTTTATCATGTCTTGGAGTATCGCAATAATATCGTATCGTGATTTGTATGAATCGTGACATGAGGGTTTTCTCCTGCTTTTTAAATGTTGATAAGTTCATTTATTTTGCCCCTCTAATACGAGGGGCAAAATATTTTTGTGACTAACCGTATCACAGTCATACGGTTAGTCACATGTTATTTCCTTGTGTGTTTCTGACCCATCGGTTGAGACGCTCTCCTTTTAAAACATTTAGAGACAGTCTTCATCTGTGAGACTCAAAGTAAACAGAGCGGACACAGTAATCTGAAGCAATCACATTCACTGACCTTTAAATGTGCAATAACATGATGCTGTGATTCTTCATGCTCTCGCAGTCTCTCTGTCGAATCATTCGTCAAGTCCAGTGAGTTTCCTCACATTATTCTCAGCGGAGATCACATGAACTCACCATTCTCTCTCTCTCTCTCTCTCTCTCTCTCATCTCTCTCTCTCTCTCTCTCTCTCTCTCTCTCTCTCTCTCTCTCTCTCTCTCTCTCTCTCTCTCTCTCTCTCTCTCTCTCTCTCTCTCTCTCTCTCTCTCTCTCTCTCTCTCTCTCTCTCTCTCTCTCTCTCCAGAAAGCCTTCTTGCCTGCCTGCACCGAAGAGGAGATCTTTGCTCATTTGGGTTTAGAGTATATTGAACCCTGGCAAAGAAATGCCTAGTTTGCCTGAGATTGAGCGTGAGTCTTCAGACCGACGCTGACACTCACACTCGAATGACGCTGACACACACACTCGAACGCCTGCTGTGTGACTCGACCAGCCAGCGTGAGGATTGTTACTGTGTTATTTTTAAAGCATTTGTTTACCAATCGCATTTGTACTCGCTTAAAAATGTGTTGCTGCATTATAAGAAAAGATCACAGCAAATGTCATTTGTCTACAAGAAAGATTCACAAGCATACTTTTTAAGCTTAATTTCTGTAGCGCCAAACAAAACTGCAAAAAAAAGATTGTTTCCGAACAGGTTTCCAAAAGCGTCTTTAAAATCACCTACTTTTCATGGTTTAATCCACTGATGATGGATAAAATGAAAGTCCCGCTCTAAATTTTTTCTTTTCGAATATCATGTTTTGTTTGGAAAAACACTTTGTTTAAAAGTTTGCGGTCAATACGATTTTTTTAAAATGTTTTTGAACTTCTGAAGTCTCTTCTGCTCACAAATGCTGCATTTCTTTGATCAAAAAAATACTGTGAAAAACAGTGAAATATTATTAGAATTTAAATCAGCTGTTTTCTGTGTGAATATACAGTAAAGTGTAATTTATTCCTGTGATCAAAGCTGAATTTTCAGCATCATTACTCCAGTCTTCAGTGTCACATGATCCTTCAGAAATCACTCTAATATGATGATCTGATGCTCAAGAAACATTTATGATTATTATCAGTGTTGAAAACAGTTCATATTTTTTTGGATTTTATTTTTCAGGATTCTTTGATGAATAGAAAGTTAAAAAAAAAACAGCATTTATTTGGAATAGAATCTTTTGTAACATTATAAATGTGACTTTTGATCAATTTAACGTGTCCTTGCTGAATAAAATTAATTATTAGTATTTCTTTTTTATCTGACTGACCCCAAACTTTTAAACAGAAATATGTCAAATCATTAAAAGTAAAATAAGTTGCAAACATGTTCTTTAAGCTGTAGTCTGGCTAATTCTCTTCATATAATTAGATGATTATTATTAGTCATCTTTTCTTTCTCTTAGTCTCTCAAGCATTAGTTGAGTTATAGAGTTGCATGATGTTACATCAGAGCAGCCTTTTAATATTCATTCATCAATAGACCTTTTGAACATTAGTGAATGTTAATCAAAATATGATTTAAATTAGTTGAAATAATCATGGGTTGGCTATATATTTAAATAATTTTGATTAATTATATGGGAAATTATGTAAAGATGTTGCAGCACTGTAGACATGGTCTGATATTTAAACACTCATTATGTTTGTTCTGATATTTCATGCACACCTCGATCATGTTATATTTGTTATTGAAGTTAAAATGTCTTGAGGAAGATCGCAGGTCCAGATCTTCCTATTTAAGGATCTTTAAGTAGAACAGCTCAGGCGTTTCCAGGACTCGACCCGAGGGCCTTTCTTTCTCTCTCTCTCGCCCTCTTTTTATCTCTGACCCTTCCCAAAACACACACAGCAGAACCACAGAGCGAACCGGACTGAACCGGCTCGAGCTTTCAAACTGGGTTAGCCACTGTTGTGTTGGAATTAAATTACTTTACAATGAATTTTACAGCTCACAGCAACACCACAATTCCCACCAGACTCTGCAGTGCTGTGTTTTAGATGAGCAGTCATCCCTCGCAAAACCTCATTCAGTTCTGACTTTGTTAGTTAACTCTTTCCCCGCTATTTTCCACTGTTATACGGTAGGGGGCGCTGTTACACATCTTCTGAACGAGTACAGCATCTCCCGATCAAAACACAGGAGAAGAAGAAGCAGAAACCAGAGATTGAAGCACATGTAAAATAACACAAACATTAAACGGCATATAAATCAAAATGTTATGAATGAAATGTCGACCCAGGACGAGGTGCAGGACTGTGAAGCTGTAGGGGTGTTGATGGACTCGATCTACTCCATCTGTGTTTTGATCATCGTTCTGGATCTGGAAAGTCTGACAGAAACACGATTTTCTCAGCATTTTGCTCAAAATTTTGCTTTTTTTAGGAAAATTACCTCAAAATGTTGCTTTTTGTGGAAAATTACCTCAACATTTTGCTTTTTGGGGAAAATTACCTCAAAATTTAGCTTTTTTTTTTAGGAAAATTACCTCAAAATTTTGCTTTTTGGGGAAAATTACCTCAAAATTGAGCTTTTTTTTAGGAAAATTACCCACATTCAAGGTTGATTTAAAAGAATGCATGAAGTTATAATCAAATTTCCATGCAACAAAATATTCTCAGGGCATGAAAGTTTGGTGGAAATTATCAAAAATGCTGGCGCTGGATGGCAACTTAAAAAAAAAAAAAAAAAAAAAAAAAAAACACTGGCAGGGAAAGAGTTATATGACAAATATGCATCACATTAAGTTTATTAGTTTATGTTAAAACTAATCCAAATGCATGGAAATTTGATATGCAATTCAAGTACATGAAACTTAAATTTAGGCCTAAATATTTGTGATTCGAACCCTTTTGAGACTTTAACATCTTCTGTTTACTTCATATAATACATTTCTGGTCCAATTTATCAATGCAAAAAAAAAAAAGGTTTTATGGGACTTGCTTCAAATCTCAACATCATCGATGAACTCAAAATTGCCAAAATTTTTTAACGTTTTTAAAATGCCTTTGGAGAAAATAAATGGGAAAAATACTTCCGGAAGCAAAGCTGATTGATTGCTGATCCGTTCTTTTGCTTGTGATGCAGGAATTATTAGGATTTATTTTGCTTAGTTTTAACTGATGCTGGTGTAGAAAGCAAGAACGGCATGTCAGCATCGTCAGCATCCGTTCTTGCACAAATCTCAAGTGTGTGTGAGCAAATGGATCTGCTCATTATCTGGACATGATTTTCCGGACGCTGTTTCAGGCTGGCAGGGATTTTATTGTGGAGGATTTTGCATATTTGTTTTGAATATTTATTTGTCTTGAAAATGATTAGAACTCTAGCTTTGCAAATGCTAATCAAGTCTCAGTGTGTTTATGAGCATTAATATTGTATGCTGTAATTTCAATGAGGTTCATTTTTGTAGTTTCTCAAAGCTTTTTTTGAGTTTAAGTTTTAATAAAAAGTTGATTTTTGAATATGCTTTCGGCACATTGAAACTTTAAAAACTTGAGTGTGCTGACGATGAAGTTCTGCTCTGTTCTGTTCCGTCTGGTTTTAATAAAAGACACTTTGCTGGGAGCAAGAATCATTTCAGTCTTAAAGAGACAGTACACCCAAAAATACCAATCATGTCGTTCAAACCTGCATGACTTTCTTTAGCAAAATCTTTGCTTTATTCTTAATTTGAAATATTATTATTTAAAAACTCATTTTTCATAATTTAATAAAATAAAATATGAATAATAAATATCTGATAGATTAGAATGAGCAAAAGCCACAAATTTAAGTCATATTTAATATATAAAGCAATACTGTAGATTTTTAAGGTAAAAATACACCAAATGTCATTGGTTCTCATGTTTTCACAACAACCAGTCACAACAGCTAAATCCCTCCCTGATAGTTAGTAAAAATACAATATAAACAGATAGGCCTTTTGATTTTCATAATGTAAACTTCATCAACAAAGTATTTTTCATTCTTAGTTCAATGCTAACTAGTTAACAAACGGGACCTTATTGTACATTTTTAACTTGTTGACCGTATTTTAATTTTCAAATATTCCTTTAATGGGCTTGTATATAAAGAACTGATGCTGAATGAAGAAACTGCAGAGATTATTGAAATACTCAATACACACACATTACAACATGCGATGCAGAAAGAGACACTTCTGAATAAGTCACAGAATCAAATATTAAAGGTAATTGCAAGTTTTTAATTTTAATAAACTAATACTGAATATTATATAGATCTATTGTTTACATCAAATTCATGCTTTAACAGTAGGGTAATCATCGCCGGTTTCATCAGTCCAGTCTGTCTGTATAATGGCTTGCAACCAGGGCCTAAAACTAACGTTTTGCCACACCGGCTAATAAATATTACCGGTCATAAATATTTTAGTTTGGAAACATAAAGTTACCAAAGTTATTCAGTCAAGATCGATGAGTGATTTTTCTTTGTCTTTGGTTGTTTGATTAACATTAAAAACACACAGCAGGAATATTAGGCTGCTGTCCCTTTAAGAGCTAATGCACAGATCCAATACACTGATACACATGCGATTTATTTCTCAACTGTTTACATTAGAGTTGCCAAAAATTACCGACTGCAATTTTAAAATTGTGACGCTTTGAGCGCTGTTGAGCGGACTCGAAACACCTCTGATTGGCCGTTGTACTCGCGCGCTCATCAGATATGTCTGTGATTGGCTACAATGATCAGCGCTTCAAAAACATGTTGTAAACCGAGCGCTTACACAGATACACACGAGAGCGTTTAAAAAAAACGTTCAAACCCTTTTGTGTGCTCTCAAACGCTGATCATTGTAGCCAATCACAGACATATTCAATGAGCGCGTGAGTACAACGGCCAATCAGAGCTGTTTACGAGTGAAGTCGGTACTTTTTGACAACTCTAGTTTACGTTCAGTCAAGAACTAACTGACTGTGTTTACAAGGATACTTGCCAAGACGGGCATTTTGACATAATTTTGTTTGAACATGTCTGTTCAAGTGCAAGAAGACATGAGAGAGACTCAGATTTCTAGTTGCGAAGTGAGTAACGAATGAATAACGAATTCCCTTTCGCATCTTCTTGAGCTTGAATATTTAAATTGCCAAGGCTTGAACTTTCGTGATGATGCAGCACTATCTCACAATTTTTCATGTTAGAATTCATAAAAATGTCACCGGCGAATCGCGAGTTATTTAGGCCCTACATTTGCAGCCATAAACGTCGGTTTAGCTTTAAACGGCGTCTTCCAAGACGCTATTCTGTAAACATGTATTTTTTTGCATTCTGATTCTGACATCCAAAGCCTAAAGAATAGTGTGCACGCAGCTGAAAGATTTATTGAAACTGTTTTAATAACTCCATCCATCTTCTTCCGCTTATCCGGAGCCGGGTCGCGGGGGCACCAGTCTAAGCAGAGACGCCCAGACTTCCCTCTCCCTAGACACTTCCTCCAGCTCTTCCGGGGGGGGACCGAGGCGTTCCCAGGCCAGCCAGGAGACAAAGTCCCTCCAGACACACATCCGGAACAGATGCCCGAGCCACCTCTCCATGTGGAGGAGCAGCGGCTCTACTCTGAGCTCC